TATAAATATGAAATAAAATGCATTTTTTTTATGACAAGTATTGTATTATTTTTTTTCTTGAATTTAATTGTATAATATAAATATGAAATAAAAATGTAAAGACGTGAAGAATTTGAGCAAGGTAGAGAGTTGATGGAGCTGACAAAACATTGGTCGTCCACTTTTAAATGTCTCAATCCAATCACTTTCCTTAATATAGCATAATAGCAACAACAATTATTAAAAACAGTCAATTATTAAAGGATGAAAGTTTTTAATTTCATTTTGCATTTTACCACAATTCAATCACAATATATGGTCACCATCGAGACCAAAATGTTGTACAAGTAATTCTATTCCCACTGTTCCTTTTTTTCCTTTTATAGTTTGAATTTAAAAACCAAAATTGCATTATAAATTGCAAAAATAATAATAATAACAATAAAAAAAACAGTAAGTAAAAAAAAAAAAAAATCACGGACGGGCCGATTTGGCCCGCGGGCTAATGCGGGCGGGCTACGGGCCATGGATTTCCCAGCCCGTAGAAATGCGGGCCATTTTGGCCCGCCCTGTTTGAACCGCAGGCCGGCGCGGGCCGGAGCGGGCTGGGCCGGACCGGCCCGTTTGACAGTGCTAGTCATGTAGTATATGATCTGAATATCTCTTGAGCAAATAATAAATAAATAAAGATGAAAAGGAAAACACAACAGAAATATAAAACCGTGCTACTATAAAACAATCATTACCTTGACTTGTGCACAAGGATTAGATTCATGGCTGCCATCTATTTTGTAAGTTGCTATAAAGTAATCACCTCTGTGATATAGTTCTCAAATATCTCTCTTCACGTAAAGCACATGGAGATGGTAAAACTCATCCACATCACGTAAAGAAACACTTATGAACGATCGAGTAAAATACTTATGCAACCATATGATTTTTAGTAAAATCCTCTAAATCCCAACACAAAAACAAACCTAATAATATGCAAAATTCAAAAAAAAGAACAAAAAAATACGATGTAGCGAAAGCGTGTACGAATGGGAAAATACAATACGAGATACTCTCTCGAACTTGGGATACTCTCCCGAAAGAACACTATAATTTTTCATTCTCCAATTCAACTCCAATAACAAATCATAGTTGCCCTTTAAATAAACATGAACCTTAAGCTCAACTTATTCTCTAAGCTACTACTAATTATTAAATAATAATAACAATAATAATAATAATAATAATTATAATAATAATAATAATAATAATAATAATAATAATAATAATAATAATAATAATAATAATAATAATAATAATACTTATATTTCTTCTGCATCAGAAAGCATACCTCCTGGAACTCAAACAACTTCTCAGATAACCGAAAGCTTGAGATGACGGCACTTGAGAGGGCGATTGGCGCTGCTCTTTTTTTTTTTTCCTGAAACTGTGGGGAGAGAACAATTAAGGGCGGGCGAGATAACTCTGCTCTTTTTTTTTTACTGAAACTGTGTGGAGAGAAAAATCAAGGGCAATTAAAGGGCCCAACTAGTGACTTCTTATATAAAGTCCCCTCGACTTCAAAATATTTGATGAGATATTGAGCAGCTTTTTCCGCCTCTGTTTGTCTCTTGCAGGCACTCGTCTCTGCAAGAGTTCGCGAATCGACTTCCTTCAATCATCCTTCTCATCGACTTCCATTGTTTCGCTTAACACACTTCCTTCCAAGTGCATCATGGTAATGTGGCCCCCCATATTTTTTTCGTTGGAACTCGCAATCCTCGCGAGCCAGTCGGCCCGCTTGTTTTCCTCTCGTGTGACTTGTGTTAACTCGAATTTTCCCAGGCCTTGAATCTAGCCGACATATTTCAGCATTCTATCCTCCTTTGTTTACCACCAAAAAGCTATTTATAACAGTTATTTACCAAACACTTTTTTTTTTAGCTTATTAAAAAAGTCAAACTTGATAAAAAAAAATCTTTTAAGGAAAAAACCTGAAAAACAAGGGTGTTGCTATTTGTCGCCCCGAATTACTACTTGTGCCCGAAAATAATTTTAAAAATTTACAAAAATATCCTTATGGTAAAAAAAAAGTTAATGGAAAAAATACATTCAAACGTCCAGAAGCTAAGCTTGTAAGCCAAACATTCGTCTAGAAGCAAAGCTTCCTATACAAAGAAACGTCCAGAAAGCAAGCCCGACTGTGAAGAAAAAGGTCCAAAGCTTATGCTTAAAAG